GCTTGCTACCTTTGGGGAGAGTCAGCGTAATGTAGTTTTAACAGCTCAGATTCCGAGTTCTAATCTGTATTCTGCACATAATAGTCTTATTTCCTCACTAGTAAAATGGAGATACTAATAATTGCTGTAAAGCGTTTATTAAAATGCATACAATGAGTAGTGCTTGGTATAGAAGAACTCAGTAAATCTTGTCTCCTTGATGAATTGACTCCCTTTATCGTTACAAAATGTCTCTCTTTATTCCTGATAATATAGCCACTACCACTTTATTTTAGTGTTTGAAAGGTATATATTTTTCTACATTCTATAACACTTTACCTGTGTTATATTTAAAGAGGCATCTACAGCATACAGATGGTGTGTGTGTGTGTGTGTGTGTGTGTGTGTGTTTTCAATGGGATAGTGTCTGCCTTTTAATAAGTATTTAGGTCACTTATATTTAATATGTCATTATTGAAATATATGTTAGGGTCTCTTTGGAAGAGAAATCACACAGTAATTTGAACAGGGAAAATTTAATATAACCAAATAACTGGAAATTAACTGCTGAAGGTATGGTGTGTGTGTGTGTGTGTGTGTGTGTGTGTGTTTTCAATGGGATAGTGTCTGCCTTTTAATAAGTATTTAGGTCACTTATATTTAATATGTCATTATTGAAATATATGTTAGGGTCTCTTTGGAAGAGAAATCACACAGTAATTTGAACAGGGAAAATTTAATATAACCAAATAACTGGAAATTAACTGCTGAAGGTAAACTACTAAGGTAAAGAGATCTATAAAAAAAAATAGAGGAGTCACTGCTTTTAGGGCTGAGGCAGAATACCCAAGGAGGGAACATATTTGGACTAGAGCTGCCTGAAATGAAGTCTTCTGAGATGTGGAAGGGTGAGGCTGGCAAGCAGGAAACTGCCCACTAAGATGCTGGCAAAATTTTCTTGGAGGCCATCTGGCTTAGACAGCTGAGAATATTTACTGTCTAGACCTTTACAGAAACAGTTTGCCAACCCCTGGACTTGAGTGAACTGAAATGGAGACTTTTAAAAAAAAATGTATTTGTATTGATTTCAGAGAGGAAGGGAGAGACAGACAAAACCATCCTATATAATAAAGAGGTAATGTGCAAATTGACCATCACTCCAACACACAAGATGGCCAGCACAAGGTGGTCAGCAGGGGAGGGCAATTGGGAGGGACCAAGCTTGCAAGGGAGGGCAGTTGGGGGGACCAGGCCTGCAGGGGAGGGCAGTTGGGGGTGCCCAGGCCAGGAGGGGAGGACAGTTAGGGGTGGCCACACCAGCAGGGGAGGGCAGTTAGGGGCAATTGGGCCAGCAGGGGAGCAGTTAGGCGTTGATCAGGCTGGCAAGGGAGTTGTTAGAGGATGATCAGGCAGGCAGAAGCAGTTAGGAGCAATCAGGCAGGCACACAGGCGAGTGGTTGGGAGCCAGCAGTCCCGGATTGTGGGACGGATGGAGCCAGCAGTCCCAGATTGTGAGACAGATGTCCCATCCGACTGCAAGTTTAGGCCTGATCCCACCAGGCGGACATCCCTGGAGGGGTCCCAGATTAGAGAGGGTGCAAGCTGGGCTGAGAAACACCGCCCCCCCTGAGTGCACAAATTTCATGCACCGGGTCACTAGTTTATTGATAAAATCACAGAGAAGAAGTAATTCCTAGAAAAAATGGGCTGAGGAAACAAGTTACAGAGGCAGAGGAAGGGCCCTTGGGGCTCTGGCCTGCG